TAAAAAGTTTAGAAATGAGAGAGAATTTGGGTTGATGATTGAATAATTTTATTTTCAAATTATTGTCTAGTAGACTAGTAGTAAGTCGGTCCTTAACTTAAATAAATAAATTGATCTTTAAAATTTAATTACAGTTGCATTTCAATCTTCAGTTCTTGGAAAAAAAAATACAGATTTCAATTAATCGTAACATGAATTCACCCCCTGTTTGATAGTTATTATTTTGAAAAACATTGAGTTTTGAATAATGATTTTTGGAGAATGTGTGGCTAAAAAGTATTAAAAAAAAATTTGGTTTTACATACAAAATATTTTATTGTACAGATGTGTGGCAAAGATATTTTAAATGCAAAGGATGTCGCGGTGAGGATAAACAACATTATTAGTTCAACTCGCAATGAGTCGAAGGCATGTGTCAAGGAGTTGTTGGTGAACGGAAAGCTCGTCAGGAAAACTGAATTAGATTATTATGCTTGTACGCTATTGACACATAAGCGTAATAGAGACATACTTGAAGTGATGGAAGACTTAGATCAAAAGTTTGAATGGTGAAGTGGAATGTCAATGAGCACAAAAAGTTGCAAATTAAGTAAAATGTGAGGGGCAAACTTGCTCATTGAAATCTTTTCGTAGGATGTCGGTTTGTCAAATTACGTTTATTGTGTTTGTGTTGTTTTTTTTAATGCTGAACATGAACATGAATTTTTCCAAATCCTTTTATTGTTATTGCATGAATGGAGATATATGGTCTGGATATGCATGGTAAACAACTACTCATAAGATTCTTTTGTATGTGTTGAAACTATTTTTGAAAAACAAGAAACAAAATAAAGGTAGATATTTTTCTTACATACACATAAATCAAACTTGACTTGTTACTTTTTATTGAGAAGTTAAACCAAACCATCATCATTTTCAAATATATTTTCTTATCACTATCATCTATAAAGTGCAACGTTGATACCCACATTGTTCATAACAAGAGTCAGTTTTATCACTACTGATTTTATTTCTTTTCTCACTGCTAAAAATTTTTTATCATCTAAAAAGAAGTGCTATATCTTGGTCTTGGAGGACTTCAATTACAATTGTAATCTTTTGTCGAACTCAGACGACGATGACGAAATCGATGGGTGGCATATTTGAATGAGCTAGTGGCGGACATAATGGAGTGACTTCATTATTGTTAAATTGATAAATGCGACATGATGCACTACTATTGCGAGCAGCAACGTCGTATTCTTATATTTCCATTTGCTAGAAATGGTCATATGCTTATGTTAGAGGCAATGGAAGGTAATGGAAAATTTGCTACCAAGAGTTCCGAATGCACCCATCGATGTTAAAAACATTTTACACACATCCTTCTTGATGAGTATGGTCTCAGCGGTGGCTAACATGTACATGTAGATGTTTGTGAATAAATTGAAATGTTCTTGTGCATACTAGCGCACGGAAAAAGTTATAGGCAGGTCCAAAGGCTATTCAATCATTACTTGTAAACGGTGGAGCATTACTTTAGAGAGGTTCTTTGTACCGCTTGCACGTTATCTGTACGTGTAATCAAATCGGATCTCAATGACAACATGGATGCAGAGCATTACAGTCCGGATGCCAACAAGCATCCATTACTCTGAATTGAATCAGTACGATTGACAGAACGCATGTTATGGCTATTTTGCTACTGAGAAACGCAACAATCGACCTTACTACACCTAGATGGGGTGATTAGGTATAAATGCGGAATTAATACTTAATTAACATACAACAAGTCACAAGTTGATTATGTCTAGGTGATTAGTCAAACAATTCAATTTGTCCTATGTTGAAATACCGAAGTGATGTCAAAGCAGTAAATAAAGCAATAAACAACACCAGAATTGTTCACAGAGAAACCCACGTGGGAAAAGCTCCGGATACTTTGCCAGTCAAAGATCCATTATAAACTGTCAATATA